AAACGACCCTTTCACAGGGGTCGCCTAAGACCATTGGAAAACACATATATAATTACATATTGTTTTTGTGGTTAATCACTATGCTTTAATGATGTTCAATTTGTAACAATGAAATTGGGGGTCACCACAACATGAGGAACTGAATTAAAGGGCCGCGGCATTAGGAAGGTTGAGAACCACTGCTCCAGCCCATGGAAAGCTGAATTCAGTAGGAAGAAAACCCCAGGGGGTGGGCAGGTTTCAAGTTGGGGCTGTTTCCCATTTGTGTAGCAGTGTCCCGCCGAGTGGAGGAACTTGCTCAACCCAAAAAGTTCTACACGGATTATTGCGACAGCAATAGGTAAGATGGGAGGGATGGGTAGGCACTCTGAGGGCAGAGTTTGGCAGAAAACCATTCTCTTCCCTTGACAGGCTGTAGCATGGGGGGAGGGGGGGTTCAGGTTCTAGGCTAGATAACCCAAGTCTAAGCTGGGTGCCTGCAGGCAGGCACATGACCCTTGGGATCTCAGTTCTCCACCTGCAGAGCAGGTGGTAGTAGAGATCACACACAAAAGCTACTTAGTACAGTGCCTGTCGCAGTAAGTGCTCAGTAATGTCACTTACCACTATCATGGGTTCTGTTGGCTCTGAAAAGCTAGCAATTGTAAGACATTTTTATTTTATGTACAATGAATGACACAATTCTTTGTTATCACTTAGAAATTTTATGCTTCTCAAAGTTCTCTTTAAAGTTATTTAGACACAAATTTTAATTACCTATATTAATGTATTCAGAAAAAGGAAATTACAATGGAACTAACTAACTGAAGTGTGTTTGAATCACTTTTTAAAATTTTTTTAAAATTTTTATTATTTTTTTCTTTTTTTAAAATTAAATCTTTATTGTTCAGATTATTACAGTTATTCCTCTCCCCCCCCCCCATATTACAGTTCCACCTGGTTGCCACCCACCCTCTGCCCTTACCACCCCCTCCCACTGTCCTCATCCATAGGTGTATGATTTTTATCCAGTCTCTTCCAGACCGATGCTCTATCCACTAAGCCAAACCGGTTAGGGCTGAATCACTTTTTTAAAAAATCATTTTTTATTTTTCAATTACACTTGGCATACATTATTATATTAGTTTCAGGTGTACACGCTAGTGATTGGACATTACATAACTACGTGTTCATCCTGATAAATCTTGCACCTATTGGACACCATCCATAATTATTAGAATATTATTGACTATATTCTCTATGCTGTACTTTACATCCCCATGACTAATTTGTAACAGCTAATTTGTACTTCTTAATACCTTCACCCTTTTCACCCTTTCCCCAATCCCCTCTCATCTGGCAACCATCAAAATGTTCTCTGTATCTGTGTTTGTTTCTGTTCTGCTTGTTTGTTTATTTTTTTTTTTTAGATTTAATTGTTGGTAGATATATATTTATTGCCATTCTATTGTTCATGTTTTTGATCATTTCTTTTCTTCTTTTTCTTAAAGAAGACCTTTTAACATTTCATTTGGTGGTGATGAACTCCTTTAGCTTTTCCTTTATCTGTCCTTCAATTCTAAATGACAGCTTTGTTGGGTGGAATAATCTTGGTTGTAGGTTCTTGTTTTTCATCACTTTGAATCTTTCTTGCCAATCCCTCCTGACCTGCAAAGTTTCTGTTAAGAAATTGAGTCTTATGGGAGCTCCCTTTAGGTAACCAACTGCTGCTTTTATTTTTAATTTTTAAAATATATTTTATTGATTATTTTACAGAGAGGAAGGGAGAGGGATAGAGAGTTAGAAACATCGATGAGAGAGAAACATTGACCGGCTGCCTCCTGTACACCCACTACTGGGGATGTGCCCGAAACCAAGGTATATGCCCTTGACCGGAATTGAACCTGGGACCCTTCAGTCCGCAGGCCGACGCTCTATCCCAGGGGCCTTCAAACTACGGCCCGCGGGCCACATGCAAATATAAATATTGTATTTGTTCCTGTTTTGTTTTTTTACTTCAAAATAAGATATGTGCAGTGTGCATAGGAATTTGTTCATAGTTTTTTTTTTAACTATAGTCCGGCCCTCCAACGGCCTGAGGGACAGGGAACTGGCCCCCTGTTTAAAAAGTTTGAGGACCCCTGCTCTATCCACTGAGCCAAACCGGTTTCGGCTAAACTTTTGCATTTTAATTATGATGGGTCTTCGTGTGGGCCGCTTTGGGCTTACCTTGTTTGGACTCTCTGTGCTTCCTGGACTTGTATGTCTATTTTCTTTATCAGGTTCAGGAAGTTTTCTGTCATTTTTTCAAATAAGTTTTCAATTTCTTGCTCTCTCTCTTCTCCTAATGCAAATGTTGGTACACTTGAAGTATCCCAGAGGCTCCTGACACTCTCCTCGTTTTTTTTTGAAATCTTTTTTTCTTTTTGCTGTTCTGATTGGGTGTTTTTGCTTCCTTATATTCCAAATTACCGATTTGAGTCTCAGGTTCATCTACTCTACTATTGATTCCCTGTAAGTTATTCTTCATTTCAGTTAGGGTATGCTCCATTTCTGACTGGACCTTTTTATGCTGTTGTAGCTCTCACTGATTCATTGAGCTTCCTTATAACCGGTGTTTTGAACTCAGCATCTAATAGATTGCTTGTCTCCATTTTGTTTTGTTCTTTTACTGGAATTTTATTCTGTTCTCTCATTTGGGACATGTTTCTTTGTCTCCTCTTTTTGGCAGGCTCCCTGTGCTTGTTTCTATTATTAGGTAGAGCTGCCGTGTCTCCTGGGCTTGGTAGAGTGCCCTAATGTAGTAGGTGTTCTGTATGGCCCAGTGGCACAGTCTCCATGGAGATCACTGAGGCTGGACACTTGAGTTGTGTCTCCCTCCATGTGGGCTGTTTTCACCCTCCTGTTGAAGTTGAGCCTTGACTGCTGTTGGCATGTCAAAGGGAGGGATTTAACCCCAGGCTGATCACCTGCAAGGACTGACTGTGACCAAAGACCTTTGACCATCCATGGAGGATGAGCTGTGCAGGGGCCCAACCCACAGAGCAGGGCTCAATTCAGCAGAGCACTGATGCCCCCTGAGTCCACCCCTTGAGTGTGTCACTTGTGGGCGTGGCTGGGTGGTGATGCTTTGATGCGGTCTGAAACTATCCACTTGGTGTGTTGGCTCTGGGACCTCCTGGGGAGTGCAGGCCAAGGTCAGCCACCACCTGTGTCCTGCCTGGGGCCGCTCTGCATGAGCTACAAAGCGATCTGCAGATGGCTGCTACTTGTGCTGGGCTTGGAGGTGGCCAGGCGAGGCAAAGCTTTGAACCAAGGCCGGCTGCTGCGAGTGCTGGGCCTTGGGCCACTTAACAGAAGGTATGGGTTTGCTGAGGCCAAATGCTGCTTTTTTGAGATATTTTAGGAAAATGTGAAGCATGAGCTAAGACTGGACAAACATATGGAAAAGCCACTGGAAATAGCTTGGATGGGCTCGAAAGTTGGGTGGGTGAGGCCTCAGGGTGTCATGAGAGCGGGGCAACACAGAGGAGGCAGGTTGATGGTCTCAGGTATGGTACCCACATACTGGCTCTGTTGGGGGAGAGCTCATCAAAGGAACATGGTCTCCGCCAGCATGTCTGTCTGGGAAAAAGCAGTCACTGCAGCTCTTGTGCTGATGCTGGACAATTCAGTTTCTTCCTGTATGTCTTTGGTGCCTTTCAAGCTGCTGTCCCCGTGCTGGAGCAGTGAGGGAGTGAGCCCGAGTAAGCCTGTATGTGAGCCCTTATTTTAAAAATTCTCAGCTAAGGATATGTTTCCACTGTTTTTGGAGAGAGAGGAAGGGAGAGGGAGAGAGAGAGAGAAACATCAATGTGAGAGAGAAACATCGATGGGTTGCCTACTGTATGCATCCTAACCAGGGATCAAGCCTGCAACCCGGTATGTGTCCCAAATGGGAATTGAACCATGACCTTTTCATATAAGGGACAATGCTCTAACCAACTAAGTCACACCATCCAGGGCCATGTGTGGGCCCTATAAGAGGAACTGCCTGGGACTCAAGCAGTCCTCTGTCTCCCTTAGTCTCAATCCCCATTGGTTTCTACATCCCGAAGTTATGGGGAGTTCTCTTCTTGGCACTGGAACCCACAGCTGAGGGGTCTGGTGTGAGGCTGGGACCTCTTGCTCCTCAGGGGAGACCCCTGCAGCCAAGATATGCCC